TTTTTTTTGAAACTTCTCATCCTTATGTTATAAGTATGTGCACTGTGGCTTGCTTTCTAATACCCTACGTCAGTGATTGTCTTGACGGAAACATTAAGTACTGAATAAAGATCATTCTTTGTGAACTTTTGTCAAAGATGAGTCTATGCTCTGTGTTATCTCTTTCTCTATATTATTATTTCTCCAAATAAAGGCTTGACGTGTGATCCAGTGATTATGGATTGGAGTAATTAATTGTAACTAACATTTAAATTCCTGTCTTTATGTTCTCTGCATACATTAATCCTCTAATAGACAGATGTTTGCTGCACCATGGGAACCATTCCCCCGACCGAGTGGTCAGCCTAGTCCTACCGCAGCGCGACGGCTTCAGCGCGATTTTCAAAGATTGTTGAGCGAACCTATCGATGGAATTATTGCTGTCCCAAATGAGGCAAATATTCTCGAGTGGCATTATGTGATCACAGGATCACCAGACACGCCATACGAAGGTGTGCTTATTTCATACTTTGGTATTTTCTGTTAGTTCTTAAAGTTTCAAAGTTCTGACCCTAGACATTTACAAAGAAAGTGACAGAGATGTTTTCACCTGTATTATCATATGTTTCCATTTAGTTTCACTTATGTTTTAGGTGGTTATTACTACGGCAAACTACTTTTCCAACCAGACTTTCCTTGGAAGCCTCCCGCTATTTGCATGCTTACTCCAAATGGAAGGTAACGTTCCAATTTGCACACCTCTAAGTTTGATTTAATCTTTGTCTTTAATGTAAAGATTTGAAACAAATACCCGGCTATGCTTATCCATTTCCGATTTCCATCCCGAGTCATGGAATCCTGGTTGGACAGTATCTGCTATTTTAGTAAGTTCAGTTTTCTTCATAAAATTCCTTTTTGTTCTGTACTTCCACCCCAGTAGAAGATGTTTGTTTCTTCAGGTGGGTCTTCATAGTTTCATGAATGAAGAGACATTTGCTGCTGGCGTTCGTAACGATTCCGATACAGTTCGTCGCAAATATGCTGCTGATAGCAAAGCATGGAATCTTGCGGTAATGATTGGTTTTCTACATTGCTCTGATCTAATTTTAGCCAAAGCCAATGTATTGGCTTCTCATCTTATGGTTTTTAGTGTCCTGAGTTCAAAAAGATGTTTCCACATCTATATGATCAAAATGACGACAAATTGGTATGTTCATCGAACATTCGTGAAAACGTTACTGGTTCTACGTCACTTGACCACAGGAGTAGTTCGATACGTAGGACTGCGCATAAACGACGAGCTGAAGTTCCAGTAGACGAAGACAAATGTAATCGACGGCAACATCATGCTCAAAAAAGGCAAATCGAAGTAGTTGAATTGTCAGATGGGGAATAGTCTCTTAAAATTACCGCCGCTGACAATGCTGGCTCATAAAAATTTTTTTTCTAGGTTTTCCTTCTTAAAGCCTGATTTATCATTTACTCTGGCTAGCATCATGAACCAGCATGGAGTAGTGGCTTAACATTTTTT